AGTCTGCGTTTGCCGTACCGCTCAGTCCGATATGGATGGATTCATCCACAGAAAGGCAATGCATAGCAATGGAAAAAGCGGTCAACGGTAAAGAGGTGCGGCTATGGTAGCGATTACAGTACTGTGAACAAACAAAGGAAGTCAATATTCAGAATATGGCTCGCATCACCGGTTCCCGAGCTCATCATCGATTCAGTGGCCCTCAAATAAAGAAAGTACTGGACACGAATGAAGAAGCTTGGAACGAGTGCGAGGTGTCCTTTTCAAATTCAGTACGATAAAAGCTAAGCTGAAATACAGATCAAGAAAATGAATAATAAAGAAACGAAAGGAAGTGCTAACAAATTTCTCGGTGCATAGGGCATGCTAGAGAGCAAATGGAAATGATGAATTTTATTATGGAATTACAAATGAATTATCCTTTCACACAGCTATTGCAGGAAGTAAGATAGTGAATTACTCCCATTTGCTGGGTCATGATAATGCATCTAAAGCTTAAAAAAGCGTCCGACGTTGATCTATCCCGATTTGGGATAAGCCACGCATTCAAATTCCATTCAGAATCGTAGTGGCATTTTTTGAATGCGATTTAGCCTTTTCACTGACTTGCGGGGAGCATTCAGTGTAGTGTAAGCACCAGTGCTTTCATCCTCCCAGGCAATTTGATATCAGTGAGCTTGCCTTGGATGGAGAGCTCAGTTGGCTCAGACGATGCACCATCCAGGATTTGATCCTCAGACCGCGCCCGCGACAAGAAGTGCCACTTGTCGCTACGACATTTCTGCCCAAAAACAAGTCTTATGCCTATAATTCCGTGCATAACTCGAATTATCCCACCAAAATCATTACCAGCACATTATTATTTACTGATTTTTGCCGAATTTTAGCGAATATCAGTGGTGTCGTCGTTCGTTTGTTCGCTATTTCTCGGAGACATCGCTCCGATTGATTACACCGATGGAAGCGGCATGAACCTCATGGATATACAGGTACCCAACATTACTCAATCGCCGCTGGGCTCATAGAGGTGGTTTGTGTAGCCAGGGTGAGATCCGACTTTTTGAATCGTACAAGTTCTTGGGATGGTAAGAAAGTTTGAGCCGATTTTTTTGAAAGCTCCAGAACTTTCGCTTATTGATCGATACCTAGAATCTGCTACGTGATAGATTATCGCTGTCGATCATACTTCTCCGCAGTAGGTATATATAGCCGGGTTGCCTTCTTTAACTTTAATCATGATGTCGATTCCACAAGAGCACTTTCGAGCGATCATCTTCAATGAATGGCGCTGCGGCACAGGAGCAGTGGAAATCAGCATTGGGAAGGGACACCACTTCCATCATCAGTGCCAAGCTCTGGTTCGCAGGCTTCGAAGGAGGAGACACGGCTTCCGAAGACAAGACAAGGTTGGGAAGCCCCCAAACAGTGGAAGACTCCACCGTTCTCGGCGCTGTCGAAGAGGATCCGGAGGTTAGCACCCGCAGCCTTGTGATAAGACTCGGGTGCACCCATCCCACAGTCCTCGGTCCCCTCCACGCCCTCGCCACAGGAAAGTGCCGACTCGATGGATCCCTCATGTCTTGACCGATAGCACGCGGTTCAGGCGGGTACCCATTTGTCAGTTTCTCCTTCTCCACCCTTATAAAAAGGAGTTTCTGAAAGACATGATTAAGAGAAATGAGAGTTTGGTCCTCTACAGTAAGCACCGCGTTGGGTGGCTCTCTCAAGAAGACACCCGCCGAAACAATCAAAATTGAATCTCCATCCAAAGTTGTGTCTTCTTTGCTGCTTCTGGATTCGCGAGGAATGTTGTATTATGAGCTGCTCCCGCAAGGCATACCGTTACCGGCAGCATTTACGCCAGTCAGCTCCAGAAACTAGCGGACGCTGTTCGAGAAAAACGACCGAGACGAACTTCTGTCCACCTACTCCACGATGACGCCAGGCCCCACATAGCTAAAAGAGACCCATGTAAAATCAGAAGAGCTCTAGGACTTACTTACCTGCCCATCCAATTCCCCCGACATTGACTCTCTGACTTACTATTTCGCCCCCTTAAGACATTCTTAGCGAAGAAAAAGAAGACGTCGAAAGTGAGTGATTTCTTTTATTGTTGAGCAAATTCCATTGTACACGGAATAAAAAAGCAAAGTAAAAAAAAAGTGTCAAGGGGCTCAGGACCTTCTTACCATCCTAATACGATGCGGCGCGTCTAGTTATTGCGCTATGTATACCCATTTTTTCATCTTGAGTAAGTGATAGTGAAACAGGAGAGAATTAACGGGAGATTTTGGTTTCAGACACAAGAATGGAATGAGAACTGTTTGACAGCTGTTGATGGTGGCGATGAAAATCGGACGCATTTACGGGAAAAACTTGGATCTCTGGCCGATCCATCTAAACCAGTGGTAATGGATTTTTGCAATTTACCGAGCGCACTATTCTAAAGTGACAGCTGCAAAGGAGAAATTACATATGATATTTGAACCTCTCCAAAGAAAAAAGTATCAAGTAGAACAACTGGACGGTGTTCGCGTTTTTGTAAGACGATCCCTTATTTTTGCGCATTAGTGCTTATTTATTTATTTACTTATTTATGCGTACAATGACGCGCCAGCTACAACAGGCGAAGCGGGACTGACTGCATGACTCAGAAAGAACAGAAAAAACAATTATAACATCAACTGATAACTACACTGCGTCCCATAATTATACGTCCACCTAAGAATTTCCCAAAATCTCACAAATATAGATGTTTCGAAAAAAGTCTCCTAATGTGACAATGTATCGCATATAAATACGCAATTGCCTATGAACATCAATTTTCTATTTGAGATCACAGGAATTTTTTCCAATAATTTTTGTGTAAAAGGCCACTCAGCCGACGTCCCAAAATTATACGTCCACCTCACGTTTATCGATTACTTTTCACTTCTGTTCCACGAAACTTTTTCATTGTGGTAACACACTTCACTTCTTAAGGGAACAGCATAATAAAGACTGCTGTTGGATTTTGAGAAAGGGAAAATGTCGCAAAAACTGTTGAACAACGCAATCGCACCAGATTTGGTCCAGATTCACGCCAAGCTTGAGAATTTTTTCAGGGGTTTCACATGATATGGAGTTTAGAAGAGCTCTAAAAGTCTCTCATTACTTTTCGATGGAAACAAAGGCCGTGTTACAGAAAAAACATCCACTTTCATCCAACGGTGCTCTGTCATCGAATCTTCTTGAGAACTTTATGCCTCAACGGACTTTTGTTTCATGCATGTAAAGATCATTCTTGATCGGAAAATGTGAAAGACGTTCATTTATGGCAAGGAATCGTGACGAAAACTGGGCTGATTTTTGCATGAAGGTGCAGCCGAGCCGACTGGAGCAGGGTCCCTTTCTCCTTGCTATGCATGAGTGTTTGTCTGTCTTTCTTTTCAACATTTTCTTTCTTTTAGTAGTGCTTCACTAAGAAAAAAGCCATTAAGGGAAAGGTAAACGTGAGAAGAAAACAAACAAATGCCAAAACATATCGGGCAGAAGCGAACCTTACTTCAGTCGGCTCGGCTGCACCTTCATGCAAAAATCAGCCCAGTTTTCGCCACGATTCCTTGCCATAAATGAACGTCTTTCACATTTTCCAATCAAGAATGATCTTGGGATTCCTTTACATGCATGAAACAAAAGTCCGTTGAGGCATAAAGTTCTCAAGAAGATTCGATGACAGAGCACCGTTGGATGAAAGTGGATGTTTTTCTGTAACACGGCCTTTGTTTCCATCGAAAAGTAATGAGAGACTTTTAGAGCTCTTCTAAACTCCATATCATGTGAAACCCCTGAAAAAATTCTCAAGCTTGGCGTGAATCTGGACCAAATCTGGTGCGATTGCGTTGTTCAACAGTTTTTGCGACATTTTTCCCTTTCTCAAAATCCAACAGCAGTCTTTATTATGCTGTTCCCTTAAGAAGTGAAGTGTTACCACAATGAAAAAGTTTCGTGGAACAGAAGTGAAAAGTAATCGATAAACGTGAGGTGGACGTATAATTTTGGGACGTCGGCTGAGTGGCCTTTTACACAAAAATTATTGAAAAAAATTCCTGTGATCTCAAATAGAAAATTGATGTTCATAGGCAATTCCGTATTTATATATGACACATTGCACATTGAAGACTTTTTTCAAAACATCTATATCTGTGAGATTTTGGGAAATTCTTAGGTGGACGTATAATTATGGGACGCAGTGTATAATGGAAGCAATTAAAACAGTTGCAAATAAAAAAAAACTGAAAAAGAAGGAAGATATTAATAGTAAAGAAGGACTACTGAGTGAAGAAAAGAAGAGAAGGAAGTTGTTCAGCAAGCTGCTTCCCTCGGCGAACGGGACAAGGAAGAGGCTCACTTAAAATCGTATGCTCACGCAAATGAAGTCACACGAAGCTATGAAAACCTAGGCCAGAAGTCTTTGGGATTAGCATTGCAGTTTAAAGGAGGAATTCACGATTAGAATGAAGGTCGAAGAAAGGGAAACTGACCTAGTTGAGGGACCCACGGACCTCCTGAGGGTGCGAACTGACGCGCAATTCGCATGGAAAAATTTGACCTCGGCGACCTATCATGCCTCAAAGCTGGCGGGTCCGGCGATCTCCGCCCACCGATCATCTGATCACTCGCCGTAGTTCAATACGTGGCGAGTGATTAGATAGCTGAGAGAGCGTAGTGTTGAAGAGGGCACAGCGATGAGAGTCGCATCAATGCTCAAATCAACGGGCAAGGAAGGGGTCCATTTCTCGGGTTCTGGGCCGTTTCTCATGGTTCTTCCTTCTTTCGTGTACCACTCACCATCCCTAGGTTAATTTGAAATGGGTTGCTTTTTCATCGTGAATTCGTCCTTTAAGTTAGCACCAGTCGGCCATGGTGCTCTTGCGCCACTTTAAGGGTCATGCGAGTTTACCGGAACTTCGAGACACGTGTATGCGACCACCCACGTGGATTAAGGGTGTCCCAAGAGTGAAACCGCTAAGCCTGAGCAACAACAGAAAACTAGACAGGAAACATGGAGATAGACTATGATACGTCGTCAACACCAAGAACTTCTAATAAATTGAGCTTCTTTAGCGCTACTTTGAAGTTTGAGTTTTGACACGATAGTAGGGATGGAGGTAGGCGCTGCAGCCACCGAGTAGGAGCTGTTGTGCCGAAGCTGCTTATGAAATTTGCCCATTGCGTGGCCAAAAGTTTGGAAGCCGCCTCGACGTCCGCTTGAAGGCCGAAAAATCCAAAAGTTCGATGGACGGATTCGTAACTCGCCTTTGATTATCTTAAAAGCAAAGACTAGATCAGAAACAATCCTTCTGTGGAGAAGACTCTTCAAATTCAATTTCCGAAGGCGGTCATGATAAGATGGCAGAGTGTAAGGATAATTCATATCAGGGAAAACTTTGTAGAACAAGATTCTCGTAAAGGTCTTCTGAACCTTTTCAAGTTTTTGGATGTCTTTGACAAGGTATGGACTCCAGATGGGACTACAGACAATATCCTTAACACATTGACGACATTGAGACGCGGTAACGCGTCTCACTTTGCGCACCTCGTTGGACATTGAGACGCGGTTGCGCGTCTCACCCTTGTCATCCCTTTTTCTAGCGTATGCGGGGATTCTTCCCAATTTGCTTGCCTCTATTCTATGGATTACAACATAACATAACTGTAAACGACATGGGTCACGGTATGATCAAATATGCTCCAGTTTAGCAGAAGTTTTTTAAGCACAGCGGAATTGGCAGCTCGGTTCATTCCTCGTTTTCTTCCTATTCTGATGAACATGTCAGTGAGAAAAGGTAGTGAAAGTAAATACAAACTTAAAGGGATAGAAAGATATATGTTTCACTTGACACATCCACATCGAAAATAGTTTTGGCATCCACTACAGAGAAAAGGACTTGAATTCCAATTTTCTTTACCATTTCACGTTTTTTGATCGGAATTTCGCTACTATATCTTCGATTACTTTCTACGCATTGAATATTGCTGAAATGGTTTCGTACCTTTGAAGCTTCCCAAGGTTATCGTTCGAAATTTACGGGTGTGAGGTGTGACGGCCGCGCTCGCAAAATCGCCCTTGTCCCACGCGGTGCAAAAACCCAAAACGCGCGATGTCGTCAACGTGTTAAAGGAATCTTCCACGAAAAAGCTCCGCCTCATTACCACAGAAAACGATACCTTAAAGGCAAAGGTCGGGCTCAGGCACGCTAGAGAAGTAATTCCCGTGCCTGGAGGTTGTATGTGGGTAGCTGCACACATTGCAGCAACTTCCCACCTTGAAAAACGTCGTTAAGGCCCCGGGGCGTTCGGTTTCAATCCGGGGCCGCCTGTCAATCCGGGACCGCCCACCTCCGGAAGTGGTGCGTGGCTGGCATAACGTGTGAAATCAGCTAGGTTGATTGCCGTATCAACCGATAGAACGACTGACATCTCCAGAAAACTTGTTTGTACGTGCCTCTTTCCCAAGCCAGCCTCCTTCACTGCTAGTGGGAAAGAGGGTTTTGTTAACGGCCTTGTCGACGGTTTTTCTCAGTTTTTTCTCCACTGTCGTTCCACTTCGCATCTCTATACTCAGTTTCAATCGCCATAATACCCCCTTATTGAGCCCGACTTTTGCCTTTAAGGAAACTCCACGAAAGAGTGATTATTTTGTCTTGTGTATAGGATAGTATTATCGAAACTAACGCTTATGTGGGCGGAAGTGGTGTAGTGACAAGTGGCACGCTTACCACGCGAGCGGTCCGGGGATCAAATCCTGGGTCGTGAGTCGCCCGGGCCAACCAAGCCTTCCATCCCTCCGGGGTCGGTTAATTGGTACCAGACTTGTCTGGGAGGATAAAAACACTGACTTGTACATCGGCTGGCCCCCGCAAGTCATTGTATAGGCCACATCGCATTCAAACGCCACTACGAATGTACAAATGGAAGTAGAATGCGTGCCGCATCCCAAAAAGGGATTGATCAACGGCAAATGCTTTATCCTTTTCTTTAACGCTTATGTCCGTTCTTTTTGCTATGCTCATGAGGCTAGCGCCTAAGATATCGTTTCTCTGTGGTATTGAGGGTGGAGTTTTTCCGTGGATTCCTTTAAATGACAGCTAGTTTCAGGGTCCGGTGTCGAAGTATATGGTCGAGAGGTACGGCTTTAACAGCGATTGTGCTGTTCTCCCGTTTTTAGGAGATAATCCCGGTGAGCTGAACATTATACAGAATATTATGTACGAAGGAGGTTAGGATGACAAAATCGAGACTTGGGGTCGTATCTTGTCCTTCCAACAGGCTAGAGAGACACAGGAGTCCTTCAAAATTAATGGTCTTGAAGAGCCAATCCTTTCACCTTCCACATATGCTTGCTTTTAGCCACACATAGATACATTACAAATATTCACTTTCTCAAGACGACTTTTATTGAGGAGACGAAGGAAATTTGATGGGGTTTTTCTTTCGCTAGCTTGGGAAGGATAGGAGACGGCACTTGATCCACTGAGTCTCCTCCCTTATATTTCTATGTAAAAATTTACTTATTATCATGCCTTTCCTCCTCGAATAACTGTCATTGCAGCTTCACTGGCTGGCTTGAAACCTTTCCGAAGACGACGTGGGTATCTCACTTGGAACCAGTGATACTGTTTTCTTTACCACTACTGAGTATAAACCATGTGTGGACGCACATTTCTTCAGTCACTTTCTGGGAAAAAGAGATGAATTCATGGCACTTGTCTGGTAAGGAAATTTGATGGAAGTATTCTTAATAGTAAAGGCAGTGTACACGATGATTGTAGGGCGGGCTGGTTTTGATGACTTACTGGATGTCAATGGTGGGCCGGACTATCACCACGTTGTGTTGAGGATGAAACCACCTCCAAAATCTCTATAACAGAGAGGTTTAATGACGTCATCAGAACCGCTCCGCCTTCTAGCCATCGTGTTCAATGCCTGAAATTATCCGACATATGTTTCAGAAAATAAAACTGATTTTTCAGCATTCTATTAGGTCGGTCCACAATTTTTGAGAAATTTTACATGTATTGGTGTAAAATTTTTTGATAAGTATTGAAGCTTTCCAAGATGTCCTGCAACCTAGCACACAAGCTCGCCTATCCGACAGGCTAGCCACCTCGTTTGCTTGTTACTTTCTTTAGCTAGATTCCAATTTCTTGAACCTACTTCTGAGCCTCTTTCTTCATGACTTCAGATTAGAATCTTCCACGCGCAAGCTATATGGAGGATTAACCAGAAGATAGCTGAGGGCACGCTCTCTCAATCCACGGTGCTCGGTGGTTACCTCTACTCAGGGTTCCCTCCTTTTATTCGAAGATGATCCACACTCCAACCACCCCGTGACTGGCAATCTCGATGCTCTATCCGGCGCCATTGAAAAGGAATCTGAACAAAGTGAGCGCTATTTGTTAGAGCGCTTTTGGTGTTACAAGGTGAGTGTACTGAGACATTTCGATAAAGTCGCTAAGGTTTGAATATGTGGAGTTCTCATGCTCTGAGCCCGAATCAGCTCTAACCCGATCTGACATCATCATGTTCCTCTTGGTTTCCCATAGTTCCTTCGAATGACCATCCATAATACTCATCGGTGATGTGGACTGGGTGCAGTGTGCTAACAAATCCACAAGCCGCAGTAGATTTGCTTAAACGATTCGGGAGTTCTGACAGCAAAAACCCAACTCCCTCTGAATTCGAACTTCTGAGTCGTTGGCGAATACGAGGGACTTTGCGCTGGGAACCGGCACCAACTAATACCTCTGTCAGTGATGAAGATAATCGTCGACAGCTTGATGGCAACGCCTCAACTTGAAAGCAAAGTAAGACAAAATCCATTTTTTTCTGAGGTCGTTTGAGTCCACCTTGCTAAGAAAATTTATAGAAAATTGGAGACTCTCGGGCGGTCAGTTCTTTTAGCTCCGCCTTGTAGCACCGAACTTCTGCCAACTAAACAACTATCTACTCTCCTCTCTGAATCACATTGTGGAGATTGTGCAAATTTTGTCGAGCTTAATATCACGGGCCATGATGAGTGGTCAAGAATCGGACTCGGCATACTTTTCTTCGAATCAAAACTTATAAAATTCGGGGTGTGGAGCTTAGGACAGAACGCGACTTTTTCGCTCATCGCAACGCGACATCGCGCGGCAGGCTGGCGCACCCGCAGCGAAGACAACTACGGTATGGAAGAACGCGCGATTGGAGCAGCTTTTTTGCATGCGTGAATTTGTAAGTTTCTGATTCCTTACTTGCCCGCGCTCACACCCATTGTATTGATAAATGCGGTGAATCACTAATTCTGCCTCATTATTGAAAACGTTTTGTGACTTACACGATTCCGGGCGATGCCACACAAATGGTGTTTTACGAATTATCGGTGAACGAGGTTTAGTAGTGTCGTTATGCTTGCATTTTGTGGGTTCATATTGTTGTATAGACATCTGCATAAGGGTATAACATCTTTTACGGAACGCTTCTGTCCTCATCACGGATATGATACTTCATTTTGACGCTGGCGCCATTGGTGGCGCCACAACTGATTCCCACTAAATTCGCTGTAAACTTCTGTATAAGGGTTATTCGGGGTCCTGGTTTGTTGTTAGCGCTATTCGGCGCCTGCTTCCTGCTCGTCTGCGCCCTCGCACTAATTAGATCGCAATAGGACTAAGCCTTTGAGTAGTGTAGGGCTGTAAGTGGGCTATTCCCTTGTGGTCTGACACACTCCCAACTTTTGCCTCACGGTGCGTGGTTTACTCACTCCGGAAGTTTCACTCCCCTCCCCTAAGCTTAGTCGTAGGCGCTGTAGGTGAGAAAGCTTAGGAAAGCAGAAAGTATGCGTTAAACAGCACGAATGTGAAAAATGAGTGTCATATTCATGATCAGGGCCCCAAATAACCCCTATGCAGAAGTTTACAGTCGTCTCATCAAACGTCCATCAACCATTCCTCTTCCAGGTTCTCCAGAAGCTCTACCATCCATCTCTGCAAAAATAACCTACCTCCCTCTTCACTGCTAGTTAGCGGTCCACTTCTGGTTACCATTTCCTCGTTCATTATCAAATCCATGGCTATTAAGCTTCAAACTCCTTGTCGCAATCAAAGCCGACACAAATATCGCGCTCCAATCGCGCGTTCTTCCATACCGTAGTTTTCGCTGCGGGTGCGCCAGCCTGCCGCGCGATGTCGCGTTTGCGAAAATCGAAAAAAGTCGCCCTGATCTAAGATACCCACACCCAAAATAAAATTTCTACCCAGGAAGACCGCTTGAAATGCTACATCTGCATTATGAAATGTGGTAAACAATGGTGAAGTTATTACGTGTGCTGGTTAAATACATCAGAGAAATAAGATAAGTAACTAAGTCAAAAAACACCAAAGGTTCTCAAAAATTATGGACGACCTAATAGATAGCATTTGTTGAAAACTGGTGAACCCCCATTGAAATCGTCATCTTACAAGAAAAGAATATCAGAACCCTTCAAAACGCATTCCCAACGGAAAACATCTGTTTTTATATTCTTAGTCGCTCGCTTTCAGTTTCAAAAACGGATCGCTAACGCGAGAACGAGTGCGTAAACGACTTGGTTATAGATGGGACGACTTTGGTACACTTCTCGAGCAAACTCCAGTCGGTAATGATGGAAATATAGGCAAGTTTTTTTTTCAAGCGGTATCAATCTTCCCTACTCCTTATGTTACTCATCTCTCTCCCACCCCTCTCCGGCGCTCCCAGCAAGAGAAACGTTCAATTAACCAACATCTAGTGCAAGGATTCGCTGATGTGCACCTAAAACTCAGTAATTATTGAGTTCCTCTTCATATTGCTCGAAAAAAGTGACACAAAAAAGAGCAGTTACCCCAAAAGTACTTGATCATGCTCAAAACCCCTGACGAATAAACGTTAAAATTTATCTCATGATCAAACCATATTAAATTTTATTTATAGTCATATTGGATACCTTCTTCCTCCTTCGCCTCTCCCTACAATAACGAACGGATGACTAATCGTGGCACTTCACAAATAGAAGGTCTCGATTGTGTTGTGTGAACGACGCCTTCTCTCTCCTCGACGGCTGCAGACGAAAAACAATCACCGCGCGGCGGTAACTGATATCAGTGCTTGTCACGTACTGTCTAGGACAGCGTATTTTACCAACAAATATAATACACCACCAGATTGGTCTCCCGGCCAGGGTCCTATCCTATCGTTGTTACTTTTCGAAAAATTTTACGACGACCCCTCCCCCAACGTGGATTTGATACGACCCCTCTTTCCCTACCTCCACCATCTCCATCTTCCATCGAAACCCCGCCTGAATTTATCCTGCGCGCCCTCCACTCGCCCAGCCTACTACCCACGAAATCTTAGTTTCACCTCAATCCCACACGTGATTTCGAGCGACTAAAGTGGGTACGACCCCCCCCCTCCTACAAACTCAACCAGGTACGACCCCCCCCCCGTTGTTACTCGTAACAACGTAGGGTTGACCCTGCCCCGGCAGCCACCTGGACCTCCCTTCACTGCGTAATCTTGACGCTTTCCACTGTGAAAAGATTTCCTCCACCTCCTTTCCATTTCCTCCTCTCTTCACTGCTCTGCCGCCATTGTAGCAACATGTGAATAACCAAGAGTGGGCTATACCCTCCCCTTCAAAAGCCAGAAAGTGTGAGGTGCAGACCAAACACCACAGCTAATGACGGCCTCCAAGTAAATCTGGTTAACACCTTGACGACAGCGCGGCAACTAGGTTTGCCGCGTTGGACATTGTGGCAACTATAGTTGCCACACCCTTTACATTCAGTTTTTTCTTGAACGCGCCATTTCTTCCCAGGTTTTTTGTGTTCATTTTTAGGCCATACCACAACATAACCAAGAACCACGCGGCTTATAGAATGACCAAATATTCTTTAGTTTGGCAGAGGTTTTTCGGACCGGACGAAAATATCCGTTCAGTTCATTCCTCATTTTCTCTTCATTAACACGAACATGTAGATCAGTGGAAACATTTTGTCGCATCGAGTATTGCGTATTTAAAGCTCAAAATCCACAGATTTGTTGTGAGGCGGCGGCGCTCGCAAAATCGCTCTGGTCCCACGCGGCCAAAAATGCCAAAACGCGCGATGTCGTCAACGTGTTAATAGTGTTCATAGTGATAGCTGATTTTTGGTAAATGATAGTTGTAATTAGTGACAACTGATAGAATACAACTGCAACAGGCTAATCATTTCATTGGCAGAAAACATTTACATTTTGTGGAGGCCGTCGTCACTTGTGGTGTATGGTCTGCACCCGACACTTTCTCGCTTTTTGAAGGGGAGGGTAGGTGTTTATATAGTCACTGTTTTATTATTACAACCATGCCATTGCAAAACAGTGATAGGGCAAGCCCTGCGAGCTACCCAGATTTGTTAGCGGCCTGTTTACTCCATTAGCCGCCTTATCACTCACTTCATTTTGCGGACGGACAGACAGACGTACATACACACAAACAAACCGACACACCAAACTTCTGGTTATATAATGAAGTGATATCCACATCAACCTTACTATGACTATTTCAAGAAGAAGCTCCGTCATACTAGTTAGTAACTACCGTGTGCAGTGGCCTAGTAGGATTAATACAGTCCTG